CTCTACTATTTATTAAATACTTTCAAAGTCTGGGCACTGTGTAAATCTAAGTTTGATTTTCTGTGATTTTTAATGACTAAAACAGAATTCACATTGATTCAATCTTATCTAGCTTCTCCCACACAGTTTGGAAATATGGAGACAGAGACCAGAGAATTTCTGGCACTTTAATTCCAGTTAAGGATTTGACACAATGTATATGAAATACTGTATATGAAAATAGTGATCAGGATATTTGACACAATTTTTGAGCTAAATGTATGGGAGAACAAGCTTTTCCTTTTGGATACTGAAATTCAACGTTTAAGTAAGTAGCTGCCTTACAGCTTCTGAGGGCTGGTTCCTTATCTGTGATCTGAGTAATTATACTATCTGTCCAGGTACATGTCTCTGAGTAATCATGAGGTTCAAATGGGGGAAGAAAAATGAATGCCTTATAAACAGTCAAATTTTGCAAAGACAGTGGCTTATTATAGAATCAAGCACTGGGTCTCTGCTTCCGGGATTGTTTTCTGGGCTCTGCCTCTAGGCCGGATAGAAAGTAGCTACTGGCCTTTGGCAATTTCAAGACATCACTAACCATTTGTTTTAAAACAAACGCACTGTTATGGAACTGGCATCTCATGATTCTTCAAACCGCCTGCTCACATTTGATCTATTTACATAAGTTAATTTTTTTTATTTTTTTAAAAAAATCCCTCTTTGTTTATATTGATAGTCCTCAAGGAATTTAGGACAAATGTAACTTACAATTCAAAGCTCAGGTGGGGTAGAAATGTTTACAAAATATTCAGATGTTTAAAGCCTCCCAATAGCCCAACTGAAAAGGTGCTGTGGGAGGGTCACACATGAATCTCTCTCAACTGCGGTTTACTTGGGTCATCCGGTTGATTCACTGTTGTGAAAACAAGGCTGAGCAGGCGGTGTTGAAAGTCACTGAAACTGGAGGCAACTAGTCACAAGAACCCTGACTATCAGCTGATAGATTGCTTGTGCCACCTGATAACTACTGGCATTTTTTCCAGACTCGTGCAAGTCTTCAGGGTCTGACCAGGACTACAGAGCTGCTGCAGCCCAAATTGGCTGCGATCTCTTCCCCCATGCTTGAGTGTGCAGAGCTCTACTTCAACGTGGACCATGGCTACCTGGAGGGCCTGGTGCGAGGATGTAAAGCCAGCCTCCTGACCCAGCAGGACTACGTCAACCTAGTCCAGTGTGAGACCCTGGAAGGTAAGTGGAGCTCTTGTCACCCTTGGAAAAGAAAAAAAGGAAATGATGTCTCTCTCTAGAAGCATGGAGAAGGGACTGATCCCATGGCCTGTGAGTCCTGAGCAGATTCTTATTGCTGGAATTCAGATTTCTGGTATCCATGAACCTGGACAAGGAAAAAAATTACATCTCTATTTTCAATATTCTCTAAGTGAATTTAACATTTTCTTTTATTAAAAATGTAGGCAACAAATCACTGTGGTTAATACTTTTATAAGCAGTATCTGTGGCTTTGTCACCAATAGAAATCTGAGATTTTCAGATCCCTTTAAAGTTCAGATAACTTGAAATATCATTATATTTTCTCTGTTTCAAAGTTAAAGTAGATATTACACTCATCCTTTAACCTTGATTTATAATACCTTAATAAAGAAGCACAATATTACATTCTTTAAAAACATTTTGAGAACTATATTTTGAAATATTTGGTTTCCTTTGTAATCCTGTGCATTTTCATTCTATAGATTCATAAATATTATTTAGAGAAGGGCTTCACCAAATTGCCAAGAGATTTAAGGAAAAAAGAATAAGAAAAAGCTAAAAAAGCTAAAAGCCTTGGTCAGGAAGGTTCTATTCTATCCCCAGTTTCTCGGTACCAATTGATTTTACGAGTTTGTTTGAGGTTTACCTTTAACTGAAGCTTAAGGGAAAAATCAAGAGACACACGTGGTGGGGCGGGCCCTAGATTCAAAAGTCTTGGCTCTGCCATGTCTAAGTAGGTGACCTGGAACTCCAAGCTTCTGAGTCTGAGATTCCTCATTTGTAAAATGTGATGGTGATGCCTGATTTGTTGAGCCGTAGCGAGAAATAAATGAGACAAGCACTTAGCAAATGAAAATTTTCTTTAAACTGCTATTTTTTCAAAACCTTATCAAAGATTCCACATCTGTATAAGTATTTTTATTATTAGAAACAGCTACATTTGCTCATTTTGAAACATACTTATAAAATGTATATACTTCTATGTCAGTAATAAGGTGCTTTAAAACTTCCAGGTTATTCTAGAAAAAGCAAGAAAATACTAAGGATAAATCCTCTTAGGAAGGGTATTAGAAGACAAAAACAAACCAAAAAACCTTCTGACTGACTTTTCAGGCTTTTCAAGAGGGCTAAAGGGTTCTGAGGTCATTTGTTTATGTTCTGACCAGTTAAAGCCAGAGTTAAGGCAGAACTGCTCAAGTTGCGACAGACCCTGTACTTTAATTAGCAGCTGTTGGCCGCAAATAATTACAATATAATTCCAAATCCTAAATTACTTCAGCATATTAAATTAGGAGTTTAGTGACTGGAGAATGTTAATCTTGTATAGAATATCTGCATAAATTGAGGTAGAAAAAAATAACACAAGGCAGACTAAGTGCTTCTGAGGGAAGTCATGTGAACGAATCGTTTAGTTTTCAGTAAAGCTTCTAAATGAGCTAAGGAATGCAAATTTATTTATTTATTTATTTATTTATTTATTTATTTATTTATTTATTTATTTATTTATAATGAGCTAAGGAATGCAAATTTAAATGCAAGTAATACATAACATGTCTTCATGATACCAAAAGCATGATTTAGCCTGTTAACAAAAAGAATTCAGAAAGAACCAAGGGAAGTCATATATAAAGCCATATAAAGAATTCTAAAAACTGGAGCTGGTCAATTAGCTCAGCTGGTTACAGCATACTTGTTGTAACACCAAGGTCAAATGTTCGGATCCCCCTACTGGCCAGCCATCAAAAAAGAGAATTCTAGAAATTAAAAGGTGAAAAAGATAAAAATCAGGAATTTAAAAGCTGCTCCCAGCATTTTCTGCCAAAGGCCCTTTTGACTGAAAGATTCTGTTAAGGGAGGAGAAGAGAAGGAAGGAATGAGGTTAAGAGATCTATCATATAAATGGGCACTTAGCTGAATTTGGTACCTGTGTTCCCAATTAGGGAGAGAAGGAAATGTTTCAGGACCTTTTGAAGGCCTCAAGAATGAAACTCCTTAGGAAAAAACAAAGTGCGTACATGCAGAATTTTCCATCCAATGTCAGGGGATCATGGACACCCAAAGCCATCCCTGCACCCTGGTTAAGAAACCTTTGCCATATACACCATTGCTTTATTGTCATTGTAACTCATGGTGTCTACCTTTCTCTCTTCTCAATAATACATGGGGTCTCCAAAAAGTTCATGGAAAGATTTAAATTATCTTTTAATTCCAATTTTTCCATGAACTACCCATGTATTTTTTTCAATTATTCATATCATAACTACATTTGAATGTCTGTACCAAGCTACTAGAGACGCCCAGAACTATCAAATATAAGTCATCAAACCATGTCTGGGTTATTATGGCCGCAGAGAAAATAAACCTAAACATTTGAATGTCTGTACCAAGCTACTAGAGACGCCCAGAAATATCAAATATAAGTCATCAAACCATGTCTGGGTTATTATGGCCGCAGAGAAAATAAACCTAAATAAGAATTTCATGTCCTTAGTTAACAGTTGAGGACACTGAGGCTTAGAATGGCTGTGACCAAACAACAGGCTGTCAGCAATCTAGGATAGAGATATCTGCATCTTTGTTCCCACTAAAATGCCACTGCCTCCTAAGTATGAAGTGAAGATACATGAATAGGTCTGTGTGAGTTGATGTCAGCTCCATTTTGATATGGAAAATAATGACTGCCCTACCCAATTATTTTATAGGATGTTGGGAAATAAATAACTTGTGAAAAGCAAAGCAACTGTTGTATCTGTGAATGCTAGAGTGACCCAGCCACCTTCTGAGCTGGACTCAGAGTTGAAAAGAAATCAAAGGCATTTGTTAGAAGTTAAGGACTTAAGGGTTTCTGTTTACTTTGCACAAAATATGCACCATACAAATTACAGAGAAAGCAGAGGAGGTAAAACTGTGTCATCACAGTACTGCATGTTGAAGCAGGTACTTTCTGTAAAAGAAAAGCTAACTTGGCAAATATTACATCTGCTTTCAGTCTTTTAAAGTCCTCCAGTCTTTAAAAGAAAAGTGTTCTGATATCAACATATTGTTTTAGAACAACTTACAAGGAACACATAAGGTTTTGGGTAAATTTTCTCCAGAAAAGCTTTGAAAAGTCTTAGTATTCATAATTGCACTTTATTGTGCACATAATTAGGTAACTGTAGTCAGAAATTCTCATCTGTTCCAAGGCCTGCCCCTGATTAACAGTGATCTGAAATATTCACTAGTACCCACCTTTGACTAAGACCTGTGACTCAGTCTTTCCTAGGTACAAAAGAAGGAAGTTTGTTCACATGACCTTTGTCATTTATATTGCTTTGAGGCTATGTCCATAAAGAAACTTTGAAGGTGACTTTCAGCCCAAATAATAACTTTAAAAGACTATAAATATTATTTAAGAAAATTAACACTGCTATCTTCATGAGAATTTTTTAAAATTACAAATTAGACTATTGTGTAAATATTCTTTCCTCTTTGAAAAAGACAAGGTATGAAATTAAAACTTAAAATTTTGTAATAAATGGTCTTTTCTTAAACATACGGTAAAAGTGTTCTCAGGAAGTGGGAGGACACTGGATTGAGCCTTGACTGTGTTCTCCTTGCCACAATTTTTTTGGAAGGGAATGAGGAAAGCTGATTATATTTCACTAACAATTACATCCCTTTCAAGGGACTTGACATTCATTTCTACTCCAGTTGTGCCTTCGACAACCATATATTAAGCACTTCCTAGCTAGAGCCATGGAAGTAAAGATGAATAAGATATAGTGCTTGCTCTAAAAGGACTCCCACTCTGGAAAATAAAAATATTAGAAAAATAAAAAAACCTTAAGGAGGGCAATTGGGCAGTGCCTACAAAAATTGCAAATGCATATACACTTGGCCTGGGAATTCCAAATCCCATGGACAGATGTGGAAACGTGTGAGATGAAAGCTGTACAAGCTCTTCATGTACATTGTTTGGAACAGCAGAAGATGGAAACGAATCAAATGTCCCTCTGCAGAGAACTGGTTAAATAAGTTATGGAACATTTACATAATGAAATATTCTGCAGCTAGACAAAAAGAAAAAAGCATGAAGAAGCGCTCTAAGAGGACAGATATGGAAAGATTGCCAAGATATATTAAATGAGAAAAACAAGAGGAAGAAACATATGCAGCATAATACTCTAATAAAAAGGGGGGATAAATTTTATATGTATGTTTTTTTTTCTACAATTGTCTAGATACTAAGAAACTGTGAAAGGACCCTAAAGAAGCTACAAATAGTGGTTACCTGCTGCTAGGGATGAGTGGCGGGAGATGGTGGATGGGTGGGTGATGAGTGCAGGAAACCTTTTAATAAAAAGGGGAGATAAATTTTATATGTATGTTTTTTTTTCTATGATTGTCTAGATACTAAGAAACTGTGAAAGGACCCTAAAGAAGCTACAAATAGTGGTTATCTGCTGCTAGGGATGAGTGGCGGGAGATGGTGGATGGGTGGGTGATGAGTGCAGGAAACCTTTCACTGTTTACATGTTGATATACTTACTGCCTATTTTTAAATTAAAAAATACATATAGGAGGAAGAGCTTTCTCTGTGATCCCTTAGACATAATTTTACCCCTAATTATAGCACTTATTTTTTCTGCCTCATGTTAAAAATGCATATCCAATACTCTCAATTTCCTGGTCAGAAACACATCCATGGCTTCCATCAGTCAAGAAAAATGCCACTGTTAGCTTTAAAGGCTCGAGCAGTCTGGTTGATCTCTACCTTGTAAGCATTTCCTTGGCCTTTTCTAAAACTATTCCTTCAACCACAAATTCCATTCTCCATCCACTTTGCCTGGAGAACACCCATTCCCCTCGCATCAGTCAAATCATTTCCACTATAAACCCTTTCCTACTTTATCCAGTCTCAACTTTGTTCTCTATTGTACTTTGTAATGGACCCAATCCTGTATAGCATCTGTGACATTTGCATAGGTGTGTCATCC